AATTCATTGGAGAGCTACTAGTCTTAAAGAATATTATGAATGCATGTCTTTAAAAGTTTACTTGACATTTTAATTTTCTTAACTGCTAAAGATTTGGATTTTTCTTCCCTATTTCTTCATAGCAAAACTCCTACCAGTATGAGTATATTCTTAATCTTCTGACACTGAAATTGAATTCAGTTTATTGATACTGTATCTTTGTTTTTCTTCTTTTTTATTTTGATTATACCTTTCGGATTTTTTCTAATAGATTTTCACTTTACTCAAAAATCTTACTGGTGAATTTCTTCATTGATTATTTTTTAACCCAGCAATATCAACTTTTCTTCCACTCTGCTTTGGGTGTTTAGGAGTTTCAGCACACCTTTTAAAAAGTATCTGTGCCATTAAATGCAATGGCTATAGTAATTCACTGTGTTTTCTGACAGTGTTTACTCCTGATAACTGTACACATTCAAGAAATCATTTAGGGACTTCCCTGGTGGTCCAGCGGTTAAGACTCCACACTCCCAATGCAGGGGGCCCGGGTTCAATCCCTGGTCAGGGAACTAGATCCAGCACACCACAACTAAGAGCCCACGTGCTGCAACGAAGATCCTGCGTGCCACAACTAAAGACCTGGCCCAGCCAAATAAATAATTTTTTTAAAAAAGAGAGAAATAATTTAGATGTAGCCAGTATATCTTGTTAGATTTCTGTTGCCGACAAACGTGTTTACCAGTTAAGAGTGCTAATATTTTTCTCATAAGATCCACTTGCAGGATTATTTGACTTTGCCTTCCATTTAGGTTTTTTTTTTAAATTTATTTATCTATTTATTTATTTATTTTTGGCTGTGTTGAGTCTTCACTGCTGAGTGTGGGCTTTCTCTAGTTGCGTGAGCAGGGGCTACTCTTTGCTGCGATGGCTTCTCTTGTTGCGGAGCACAGACTCTAGGCACACAGGCTTCAGTAGGTGTGGCTCATGGGCTTCAGTAGTTGTGGCATGTGGGCTCAGTAGTTGTGGTTCGCGGGCTTAGTTGCTCCGCAGCATGTGGGACCCTCCAGGGCCAGGGCTCGAACCCACGTCTCCCGCATTGGCAGGCGGATTCTCAACCACTGCGCCACCAGGGAAGCCCCATTTAGGTTTTTTTTAAGCATAAAGTGCATTTTTTGAAACCACAGTTTTGTTGAAGTCATTTTGTCTTATGATTTTTTTATGGAAGTAAACATGAACATTATGAGATAAAAACGAACTTTCATTTATTAATGAGCCCCATGACATGATTCTGTATATAGAATATGCTATACAATTCACACACAAAAAACTAATCTGCTAGATATATATTAGATAGATATAATATATTCAGCAAAATTTCAGAGTAAAAGACACAAAAACTAGTGTATTTCTATACACTGGCAATGAACACATGAAAAGGAAATTAATATTTCATTTATGAGAGCATTCAAAAGAATATACTACCTAGGAATAAATTTAACCAGGGGAGGTGAAAGACTTGCATATTGCTATGAAACATTGCTGAAAGAAACGAAAGAAGATTTAAATAAATGGAAAGATACCCTATGTTCATGGGCTGGAAGATTTAATATTGTTAATATGGAGTACAGCAAGATCTGTAGATCCATTGCAATCCGTATCAAAATTACAATTTTTTTTTTTTTTTTTTTTTTGGAAGAAGTAGAAGGGCTGATCATCAAATTCATATGGAATTGTAGGGGGCCCCAGATAGCCAAATCAATGTTGAAAAAGAAAATAGAAGTTGGGGGACTCAAATTTCCTGATTTTAAAACTTACTTCAAAGCTACAGTAATTGAAACAGCAGAGTACTAGCATAAAGATAGACTTATAGACCAATGGAATAGAATTAAGAGTCAAGAAATAAACCCAGACATCTATGGCTAATTGATTTTCAACAAGGGGCTAAGACTAGTTAATGGGGAAAGTATAGTCTCTTCAACTAGTGGTTCTATACAGCTGGATAACCACATGCAAACGAATGAGTTTGTACCCTTACAACATGGATGAGCCTTGAAAACATTATGCCAAGTGAAAGAAGACACAGAAGACCACATTTATATGAAATGTCTGAAATAAACAAATTCATTGGGTCAGAAAATAGATTGCTGGTTGTCAGGGCCTAGGAAAGGAGGAATGAGGATATGAGTATGGGGTTTATTTTTTGAGATGATAATGCTTTAAAATTAGATAGTGATGAAAGTTGTACAACTTTGTGAATATACTCAGAAGCACTGAATTGTAAACTTTTAAAAAGGTGAATTTTTTGGCATGTGAATTGTATCTCAGTAAAGCTATTATTTTTTAAAAGAAGAAGAGCAAGCTCATTAGCTCAGGGGTGCACAACTATCCTAGAATATTCTCTTATTCAGGGGCCATACTCAACCCTAAATTAACATGTTTTTTCCCTAAGAACCCATCTTACCCTGTGATCTGGAGGTTCAGTGTAAGTGTAGACTGTTCGTTAACAGTTGGTACCTGTAAGTCTTCATTATTCCTAATCTAACCAGGTAACCCCACATCATGACCAGCAGTTTCTAGTTACAATCTTATCCTTTTTTTCCTTTTTAATATTTATTTATTTATTTATTTGGCTGCACCGAGTCTTTAGTTGCGGCACACAGCATCTTCGTTGAGGCATGCGGGATGTTTAGTTGCGGCATGTGGACTCTTTCAGTTGTGGCATGTGGGATCTAGTTCCCCATCCAGGGATTGAATTCGGGCACCCTGCATTAGAAGCACAGAGTCTTAAGCACTGGACTACCAGGGAAGTCGCATAATTTTACCTTTTATATAAATAAAACCCATTCGTCTGAGATATTTGGTGTGGTATCAGTCATAATCTTGTTATCTAGATCCCTTTGGGCTACTGTGGCTTTTTTTCTGTCTCTATTCATTTTCTTTTTCAATTGATGAAAAATATCATGTTCTTCTGAATATACTTTGTGATCTTAGTAAGTCGTGTATTGTTTTAAATTAATAAATCCTGTATCAGAGGTCAGGGGAATAAACAGTTAATGGGTTCGCTCAGCTGAAATTCAATCTTAAATTGTTTCTATGTGGAGCTTTTAATTAAACCTCTTCTCTGTTCGGATAGCATGTTGAAGTCCAGCTCTTATTTGCTTTTTGTATTTTTCACATTTGGAGTGAAGAGTATTTTTTTCTTATGCTAGAATAAATAAGGAATACTATTTATTGGTGTTTCTTTTTCCTCTCTACAAACACTGATTTTTTTAAAGTTAAATTTAGGAACAGGTATATGTGTCTACTTACTGATAATCAACTGATTCCCTTTTCTGAACTAGAAGATGTACATTTTCATATGGAATTACAACCATGAGAGTGGACAGAAGATTTATATGATGTGATGGAAATTTGGAGAGTCACACTTAGGCAATAGGGCTTCTACTGCCCACATTACCCTTTCTTAGTCTAATGAGATGGTGTCCTAGATAGAGCCATTGTCTCCAGAGCTGAGGCCTATTAGACCCACTAGGCAACATCCACATGTGCTTGGGGAGTGAATAACAGGGCTGGAGAGCTGCCATGATCTGAAAATGCATTCTGTGACCTGAGCCAGGTGCTTTTATTAGAAAGCCTTAGAATCTAGGATTCCAAAATTTTTGCTATCTTCCATGGATTTCTCTGAGAGGTATCTGGGGCTTGGAATTTCCTTGTCCTTCCATTAAATATTTTCTAAGAAATTCTGAACATATATCCCTTTCTTACATTGTCATTCTCTATTCTGACTCTCTGTGTGCTGCTTTTTGGAAAGTTAACTGTGTGAACTATGATTTGTGTACTTTGCTGTATGTATGTATACTTCAACCAGGAGTTGGGCTTTGTTTGTTTGTTTTTAAGTACATATAAGAAACCATACACAGATTACCAGGTAGGGCTAGTGTTGCAATCAGGAAGAGACTTTTCATCACTTGTCTTAGTGTTTTAATTTTTATAAGAAACATATTTGAAAAACAAAAGAGCAAGTTTTATAGAAAAGAAAGTTATACTGAGAGAGTTTTGATGGAAAGACAAGATAATCTCTCAATGGTAGGATTTGGGGGTTTAAAATCAAACCTGAGTTTAAATGCTGGCTCTGTTTCTTTCCTTGCTGGCTTCCACTTTTTCTTACTAAGTCTGCACAGCAGCCCACTTTGGGGACTCTCTTCATCTTGCATCTAGGAAGCATCGCAGTGCAGCCTTCTCCTCACTTTTTTGGTAGTGTGATAACAGAAAGAGCAAGTACTGGAGGGTAAAAGGAGAAATGACAAATTATAGCCAGCCTGGCAAATTCAGGATACATATTCCTTCTTCTTCCAAGCATGTCATATATTTTTTAAAAATATTAAAATGCTCTTTCTCTTTTTTTAAATTATTTATTTATTTATTTATGGCTGCGTTGGGTCTTCGTTGCTGCGCGCGGGCTTTCTCTAGTTGCGGCAGGCGGGGGCTACCCTTTGTTGTGGTGCGCGGGCTTCTCATTGTGGTGGCTTCCCTTGTTGTGGAGCACCAGCTCTAGGCATGTGGGCTTCAGTAGTTGTGGCGCACAAGCTCAGTACTTGTGGCTCTCGGGCTCTAGAGCACAGGCTCAGTAGTTGTGGCACACGGGCTTAGTTGCTCCACAGCATGTGGGATCTTCCCAGACCAGGGCTCGAACCTCTGTCCCCTGCCAATCCCCTGCATTGGCAGGCGGATTCTTAACCACTGCGTCACCAGGGAAGCCCCAGCATGTCCCATTTTGATGAATTATACCCTTTATTCTGCATCCCTGCTCTTCACAACCTGTTCTTCATGGTCAGCCTGATGTCCTTGCTCAAAAAGCAGCTCTTTCCATTGCTAGACTCTAGTCTGCTCAGAGAAAATGCATTGGACATGGTCCCACCACAGGATAATCTTGCCATGATTGTTTTTAGAAAAATAAAGCACCAAGTGTATCTTCCTCCTCCTGGCTCTGACTAACCTCTGCTCTGTCTTGTATATTTTAGGCTTTAAAGGAGATAGATGAAGTCGGGGACCTATTGCACCTGAAATATTCCCGTCATCGGTCGGTACCTCTATTGGACAGGCCCTTTGACGAGACTACATATGAAGAAACAGAAGACTGAGCCTTTTGGTGCTCCCCTAAAGGAACTCTCCCTCACCCAGGAGAGTGTGTGGCCTTTCCAGTCCAGTTGCAGGAACCACACTTCTTGTGCAAGAGATTTCCTCAACTACTGACGGTGGCCCCCTCCACTCTAAATGATATTTTGTAAATAGTGAAAAACTGCTTCACATCCTTCCTTTGCTACATCACCTTTAAAAAAGGAGGTGACTCACTTTGCTTCTTTGTCCATTAAAAAAATGTTTTATTTTATAACTATTCTACTTGTGAAATCACACTGACCCTACCCTGTCTCTGGCTAACCACGCAGGCCATTTTCCTCTCCCAGCCGCCTCACAGAGGTGGGCCCATCCAAAGCTCCTGCTGGCCCTGGCACTACAGCCTCGAGACTCACCTGGCCCTCCTTCCTGGGGAGCAAGTGCCTTCCACTTACTTCCAGTCCAGGTCTCAGAGGTTGCCAGCCTTGGAATCCTTGTTTAACCAATCACGTAATCAACCAAAGCGTTTTAATTTGTCTTAAGTTTAGCCATTTAAGAAAAGTAGTAAACGCTAACATTGCTGAAACTCCCTGTCATTGTATATCCCTCCCTGGCCAGGAGCCTCCAAGGCTTGGTCTTATTCCATTTTGTTCTGGTCACCAGATGATATCTTCCTTCACCATCAAATGTTTCTTCGTAATGGTCACCATCTGAGGGCATGTCCAGTTTCTGGGTTCTTCCCAAGCTGGAATCTAACACTCCCACCCCCTGTTTAAAACACTTAAATGGTTTTAAAAGCACCCACATCCCCCTCTGGTCAGACCTCAGTGCCGAAGTCGACTCACACCGCACTCTTCTGTGTACAAAGCTGCTCCACAGAGTGATACGCCCTCCTGCGCGGGTGAGGGCAGGGGTGGTGGGGAGAGGGGTGATTGCTCCTTGTAGAATGTCTGTGGTTTCCTTCTGACTGCTTTCTACTTTTCAAAATTATGACAGCCTCTGCCTGGGTTTGGGTCCATATTAGGGTTTCAACTGATAAAGGAGAATGTTGGTAAATCTCCGCTCAGAAATCATTCGTCATGTTCCTAATTTAAGGATTAAAGTTTATTAACTTACTCTTTTTAGAAGATGACCCATTTAAATATCACTCTGGGGCTTCCCTGGTGGCGCAGTGGTTGAGAGCCTGCCTGCCGATGCAGGGGACACGGGTTTGTGCCCTGGTCCAGGAAGATCCCACATGCCGCAGAGTGGCTGGGCCTGTGAGCCATAGCCACTGAGCCTGCGCGTCCAGAGCCTGTGCTCCGCAATGGTAGAGGCCACAACAGTGAGGGGCCCACGTACCGCAAAA